TTCTATAAGCATTCAAATGTTCTCTATTGTCTCACATTTTAAAACTAAACCAAAACCTGCCCTTGGTCTCACATCTCTTGCTCACTGTGTCTTTTTTTTGTTTGTTTGTTTAAATATATCTTTATTGACTTTAGAGAGAGGAAAGGAGAGAGAGAAACACACAGAAACATAAATGATGAGAGAGCCATTGGGGATTGAGCCTGCAACCCGGGCATGTGCCCTGACCGGGAATCGAACCCCGATCGCCTGGATCCTAGGTCGATGCTCAACCGCTGAGCCACGCCTGGCTGGGCTCACTGTGTCTTTTTTATACTCTTTACAGTAACACTTCTAGAAAGAAGTATTCATTTTCTTTGCTTCCTTTACTTCAGTCTCTCCTCAATACACCCTAATTAAATTTCTGACCCAATATTTTACCAAAATTCTTCGTCAAGGCCACCAACAACTTCTCTATTGCAACACCCGAAACTTAATTTTCTGTCCTCATCCCTTCAGCCACTGACTTAAGTGAGCACTCCATCCTTCTTGAAGGGTTTTCTCATGACTACACTATCATGGCAAGCACACTTATCAAATACTTTCTTGGGGTTAGGGAAATGTCCTACTTTGAGATTATAAAAACTGCCACATGAAACTTCTTGTTATACTTACTGTAATGATGCTGTAGTATCCTCTTTATGAAACAGAAGAAAATACTGTTTTATTCCCACAATGAGTTATGCTTCTGAGCAACTGACTCTATTCATGTGTTGCTTAAGGACAGGGATAAGTTCTGCGATTTTGTGGTTGTGCGAGCATCACAGAGGCACTTACACAAACCTAGATGTATGGTATACTGTACATCTGGTCTGTTGTTTACAGAAACATCATTACATAGCATAACTGTACTATGAAACAAATAACTGGCCTGTTCCCCTCTTTGAACTTGTTGCTAAGTTTAAAATCAATTTCATGATTTACCTCAAGCATAATACAGGATCTCACAGCATTAATTTTAATCTTTTTTAAAGCTTCATCTTGTATTTCTTATTTTCCTCTCCATTTAAAAGTTATAACTTGCAATAGCATTTTTTCTCAGCCATTTGAAATCCTTTCAGTATCAAGGTCAGCATAAATAAACACACTTAAATACAGTTTAAGAAAAAAAAATAACAGCATTAAAGTCAGTGGGAGAAGATGTCTACTTTCGTCTCCGTAGCTGCTTTCTAGGTACCCTCTTCTCTTTCCTTTTGTCTGACATTTCAGAGATTACCATTGACCATATCCTAGGCAAGTTACCTGTCATTTTGTGTTACCTGTGCTGAAAGGTCTCCTCTGAGGTGGCTCAATCAATCAACCAGCCAATTAATTGCTGGCCACAGCCCTTTCTTCCTCCTCCCCCTTTTCTAGGTGTGAGGAGAATGGGCATGTGTGTCTAAGGCACAGCTTTCAGAACACTGGTTACATGCAGGGAGACTGAGCATCCAGATAAACATGACAGTCATGAATTGAAGCTCTTTGAATAAAACAAGAATCCATGAGTCCAAACAGATATGAATGAATGAATGAATGAATGAATGAATGAATGAATGAACAAACGGTGGAGAAGAGAAAGCTCCACAAAACCTCAAAGTACCACCCTACAAAATACTTACTAATTAATGAGTATCAAATCTACATTAATTAACTTTACAGTGGAGAAAGCTGGCAGATACCTAATCTTACTAAGTGATAGAAGTTAACATCATGCATCGTGTGCCTCCTAACATCATGCACTGAAAAGAACACAGCATGGCTCTAGTGTCATTCCTAACAAAAATGCCTAAATCATGAGGAAGCATCAGCCAAATCTAAATTAAGAGACATTCTGCAAAGTAATGAGCCACTATTCACTGATTAGTGAAAATGGTTTAGAACTGAACATGCATAAGAACACAAATGGACTGAAGCTCGGAGGAAGGGCACACTAATTATAAACTGAATTTAGCCATTTTAAGCACAGCTTTGGCTGGACACTAATATCTATATTCGTGATATAGTAATATATGTGATTCTTTATGCATTAAATAACCATATGGTGGCAGGTTTTAAAAAAGTACTCTTAATTTCAAAGTGACAGAGATATCTGTAACAACTATAATAGGAAAATATGTAAGATTTCTATTGACGGTTACTGTTAACACATTCATAAATGAAACAAAAAATGTAATCTTTTTCTTTCTAAGTTCATAGACTCCCTGAATTCTATGCCTGCGTCTTTTGGGACCCATGAGGGGTAAGTAACCCTAAAATGGCTCCATGCTCAGATAAACATATCTGTCATATGGCTTAAGGGGCACTTCATGACCTGCCTGCCTGCCACCACTCACCCCCAGTCTTGAACCTCATATTTTGCAGCTCATGTTCTACTGAGTGAAACCCTTACCTTTAGACCTCTGTAATGCTATTGCCTGCAATATTCTTCCCACACTTTTTACCTGACAAACTCCCAATCATCTGACAGGTGTCAATTCACATCATTGCTTTAAGTCACAGGAGTGGGGAATGCCTGGTCCTCAAAATCATTTGGTCTGGCCCCGCTGAGGCAACCGCAGGTGAGACTCAAAATTTAATAAATCTAGTATTTTTTTTAAAGCTAATTTTTAAGTTGATAATTTTGTATGGTCTGTGAGTGATGTTATAAATATCCAAATGGCCATTGGCAGAAAAAAGGTTCCCCACACCTGCTTAAGGAAACCAAGATTGGATGCACTTCCACTGTGTTCCCATACCACCCACACTTACCACCCTATCACTGCATACTTTGTGAAAACTGTCCTTCCCAGAAACTGGAAGCACTTCAATTGTGCCTCGAATCCTCATTCCTTGCATGCTGCCTAGCACAGAGTAGGTACTTCAGTAATTGTGGAAGGAAGGAAAAAAGGAGGACAATTCCAATTTATTTGCTGTTTCATGACTTTGAATTCTATCATTAATTCCTGATTGACCCTCATAAATGCAAGCTGTTGGCCACAATGGGAACCAGAAAAGTGTAGAATTTGATTAATATAAAATCACTATTTTTATGGGAAAAATCACAGGGTGAGTATTAATGAAGGACATTATCACTATTATAAATCCATATCAGGAAGATTTTATCACCTTGCAATACTAAGTAAAATAACTATACTAATACATAAAATAAAATTGTACCAAGAGATGGTACACATCTATGCCAATAATTCTCAACTATGCACTCCAGAATGCTGGTGGTGGCAGTGGTGGAGGGGCTGCAGGCCCTTCCTCAGAAAGTGTTACCAGAATTAATGAAGTGGAGGGAGAGTTTTCAAACTATAGGCCTCTCAATCCCTGTTGTATTCAGCCACTGCTGCTGAAAGGAATGTGGGGTCATCTTCAAGTCCACTGTGGTAAAAGCATGTGTCAACAGACCTTGTAAAAAAATGATAATACAATGTTTTCTGTATTCCTTTAGCTAGGCTGAAGGAGGAGAGGGAGCTGGGAGAATTCAAGCTACCATGTTGGTGTAAAGTGTTTAGAGTCATGTCAGGAATTTAAAACACAAAACAGGTTAGAAGTGGGCTGGAAAAAAGCAATGAGACAGATGAACTAAAATCAGATTATAAATTACTGAGGGGGTAAAACTGAAGTCTTGTTCTGGGCACAGGGGTAAATCCACTTTGATTGGAAAGTGTGTCTGAGTAGTGACAGGTTGGAGTGTGACTACAGAAGGCTCTCAAAGACAAAACTGTGGATTTTATCCTAGGTAGATCAAGGTACTAATGGTTTCCGTTGGCAATATTAACCTAAGCATCTTTTTTAAAAAAAAGTTTTTATGGATTTTTTTAGAGAGAGGAGAGTGATAGAGAGATAGAAACATCAATGAAATAAACCTCAATTCGCTGTGGCTGGGAATTGAACCTGCGATGTCCTGGTTCATACGTTAATGCTCAACCACTGAACCACACCTGCCAGGCAACCTAAGCATCTTAAACAAGATGGATTAAGGGGCTGAGAATACAAGTAGAGACACCAATGATGAATAATCAACTGCTTGACACTGGTTAACCAACAGAAATGCCATAACACACTAAAAGATAGATCCTGCCACCTGTGATCAGAAATGGTATAAAGATGCAGGAGAGTTAGTTATTGCATGTTTTATCTACATGGCATCTTAATTTAATACAAGTAAAAGATGTTAGTTGTCAATAATTTTAACTCACACGGTTTGCTTTCTTTCCTCTTTTTTGTTGTATCTGACTGTTCCTGGAGTTTTTCATGAGAAAAGCATAATGTAAATCTAACAAACGAACAGAAGAATAATAAAATACTTTTCAAAAAAATCAACACGAAAACCTATTAAAATTAAAATGTTCATAAAATATTTAAAAAAGTAGTTTTTCAAATGTTTTTAATGTAGCCATATTAAACTAGGGAATTTGACCTTTAACACAAGGTTTTTAGAAGTAAAAACGTCTTTTACTTAGTGCTCAGTCTACTGAAGCATTAAGGTTTATGATCGTGTAATGTTCTTTACAGTTGATCATAAAATCTGGAAATTATCAGCCGGTTAATTTTTACGTTTGACATTTTTACAATTAAACAAAAGTCATCTATTAGGATAACTTCACCAAAGAATCAGTGGTACAAGCTTTGGTACGTCTAGGTGGGGTAACTGGACACAACAACCTGCGAATCTGAGAACCACTTCGCCGATGAGAGGGAGGAAGGAGGGGGCCAGTGCAGAAAGGACCAAATTCCACGCAGCACTAAGACACGCCCACTGCCATCACTACCAATTTTGTGTTGTCCAGGTTTGTCTGTGGAGTTGGGCTCCGCGGGGCTTCACAGGGAGGGGCTGTGCGCTGTAGCCCGCCTCGCATGCCCTCGAGGGAGCGCGGTAGGGCTCTCACCCCTGTTGGGTCTTCAGCCGCGAGTCCCGCACCTTGCCCCACCCCCACGACCCTAGGCCCTGCGTCGGAGGAGCTCGGTAGCGGCGAGCGTAAAGGGCCCGTCCCTACCTGTGCTGGGACAGTGAGGCGGCCCTGCGGCGCCGCCACGTTCACGAGGCCGTGGTACCACGCCACTCCCACTCCTGCCACCGCCACGCCGGCCACTGACGCCGCCAGTGGGCCGGCAGCTACTCCGCGCCGCAGCCTTTCAACCCAGGCCACAAGCCGAGCGCCCCGAATCGCCGCGGCTGCCATGTTTGCGGAAGCGTCCGCTCCCCATCACGCGAGAACTCCCGCACCCGTGGGCCTCGCGAGATCCGAGGCCTCCGCCCCACCTCCAGCGCCCGGGCTGTGAGCGCGTTGTGGAAGACTTGGTGCGACCCGGGTGGGGGCGGAGGGAAGGCCAGCTGCTGCGGCGGGCCTGTTGGGTGGAACTGGAGAAGCAACGGGACAGCCAGTCCGAGGCCAGACGGAGCCATTTGGTGGAGGAAGTGCCTCCTGTCCGTAAGCAGGCGTGTCACCTGTTGGCCACTGAGGGGTCCGGGTTGCTCGCTCCGCCCTGCACTGGAAGCGGCACAGTTATCTGGTAATTGCGCTCAGCCTTGCGGTTCGAGGACGCGTCCTAACGGTGGACCCATACCTAAAGGGGCCCCAATACTCTGCGTATTCCCGAGGGCTACATTTGCTGTTAATGTCACAGACCTACCTGTATCAACGGTTTCTTAAAGCTGTCCTGTTAATTCAGACGTCTGCAGATACTTTCGCACAGGCCTTTAAAATACCGTGAATTAGCTGTCCAGCGTTTAGTAAGCAACCTTTGTGTAAAGAATTGTTTCTACTTGTCTCACTTAAGCAGCTCAGTAATCTTGTTTAAATTTGATTTTTAAATTGTGGTAAAATATACATAACATAAGATTTACCATCTTAACCAATTTTATGCCTACAGTTCAGTGGCATTAAGTACATTTACACTAGTGTGCAACCAGCACACCATCCATATCCAGAACTTTTTTCATCTTGCAAAACTGGCAAAGTTAAAAATATTTAGTGTCCTCCCCATCTGTTTTGTTCATCTTGCCTAGCGTTATAGTCTTTAAAATTTTTTTAAATTAAAAATTATTTTGTATTAGTTGCAGGTGCACAGCATAGTTAGACAGTCATATACTTTACAAAATGGCCCCCCTAATATTTCAAATACCCACTTGGCACTATACATAGTTATTACAATATTATTGACTGTATTCCCTATGCTGTACTTTACATCCCCTGATTATTTTGTAACTGCCAATTTGTATTTCTTAATTCCTTCACCATTTTTCACCCAGCCCCCTAACCAACCCCCTGCCCTCTGGTGACCATCAACTTATTCTCTATCTACCTATCCTCATATTCTTGACTGCCCCCCCTCCCCCAAATCATATCCTATCCCAGCCATATCACTTAGATGAAGTGTTTTCTTATAAAGTCCCAGACAAAACCACTCTCTCTATTTCAGGCAATCACTATTTACTGAATATTGAATTTAAACTCTGTCCTGACAAGGTGTTTGATGGTATCTATTATACCGCCTGGGATGCAGCAGCACCCCTACTTGATTTCCCTGTTACTGAGGATCATGATGTTTTCCCTCGTGTGGGTGGGAACGTTACCTTAGTCCTGGTTCCATTGGTCGTAAGAAATGATTTCACTGAGGCAGATGACTTGGCTTTATTTTGTCACATCTGACCCTCCAGTCTTTGGTCTTTTCAGTGTCAATTTACTTCATAAACTTTGTTCAGCCTCTGAGGTGTCCCTGGTCATTAGAAGCTTTACTTGGGCATACAGAAACAGAGCCAAAGTCAAAGGTGCCAAGAGTCTTGATCTTACAGTCACTGCCATCTTGAAATTTTGCAAAACAAACCAAACATAAGGGCTACACTAAGTCTGGTTTAACCACTTGATTCCTCAGATCATTTGGTCATAATTCACCCTCAGTTCTTGCTCCCTTTTTCTTAGCCAGTTTGTCTAAATTAATCTGCCATTGGAGCTTCCTCATGTTCTGCCTAGCTGCTGAAACCACTTTCAGTGCCTTCCTAGGAAGGAAGTACGTCTGACTCACTGTGCACAGATATGAGAGCCAGACCACAGGGTTTGAATCCTGACTCTGTGGAGATGATTACTGTGATTTGGGGCAAATTACTTAATCTCCAAGTCTCAATTTTCTCCACTGTAAACAATTCTTACGGTTTGGGTTTGGGAGATTAAATGAGAATTCTATCGGAAGTGATCTGACACATGGTCAACTCACCACAGATGTCAGTTTATCTTCTTCAAGATCTGGCTTGGTCCTGCCTGCTGGTCACAAATGAGCTTGATTGATGATTCTCGATTCCAGACCGATAGCCCATCTAACCTGAGAATTTCCTGCTTGACCTCTTAGACCTCTGGTCTGTTTTCACCTCTTTTAACTCTGGTAGCTCTTAGCATATGCCTTGTTTTTCATAGATTGTTGACAATGTAGCTTGTTTCCATGCCCAGCTGATTGTATGATTTCTAGGATATGTTTGGACGTCCTGGATGTCTTACCTTGTAGCTTATTCTTGATACCCATAGCCCACAGTTAAAATGCTGGCATTATTTATGTACGTGCTGCCTAATTCACATAATTCTTACAGCCATTTAATAAAATCCCACATCTGTTACTTAGTCATGACTCTAAGCTTCAAATAGGCACATATTTCTATTAGAGCATTTGGCATACTTAAAAACATTGTATTTCTCCCACAATTTGACATCCTCTTGGCTAAGGATATCTTGCTTTTCTGTTTCCTCAGCACCCTGCTCGTATTAGACATTCAATGAATGAATATATGAATAAATGACTAAATAGATGGCACGAATGAAAATCTGGTGTGCCTGTTTCCACCAAACATACAGAAATATATTATTCCTTTTGTGTAATTTATTTTCCAAGACCAAAAACTCATTCTAAATTATTTTCTTTTGCTGAAAAAATTTGAACCTACTTGGAAAACTGTGCTTTATAATTAGTTGTGTGTTATGTGCCCAGGCCTCTCAAACTCACATTAAGATTTAATGTATTCAAACTTTTCTTTCGCAGAGTAAACAAATTATTAAAATAGAGCCCATTTCTAGCTGACTAACCATTCTAAGTATGAACTCTTCCCTGACAGTTGCTGACATTTGTCTAAGTACATTGACTGTATTGGTCTTTTTAGTCCCCAGCATTGGCTGGGATGTATTTTTAGCCATGTAGTTTTTAAACCAATCCCCAAATAAGGAATTGCTTCTAAAGCTGAGGAAAACAGAATAGAAACACTGATAGTTTCATGGTGTTCTTAATTTACTTTGTGCACTTTTCCTGTAGGATGGACAAAAGTTATATGGCAGAAAAACTGTTCTTAAGGGGCTTTACATTCACTGAAGAGACCAAGCCTGAATTTCAGAATGATGCAAGATGGCATTTAACGATTGTACTGTATAGAGGAGGAAGAGTGTGATAGGCTGAAGCAGTTAGAAAGGCATCTAGGGAAGGAAGGAGACTTGATCTGGGATTTGGAAAGTGGGAAAGATTTAGCTAGGTAGAGTCCTCCAAGACTGGAGGAACAATAAGATTGAGAGTGTGGGCGACAACTAGATATGGTGTGTGTTTACTTGGCTTGGAGCAGAAGGGCAGCTTTAGGGCTGGTCTTGAGTGGCTTGAGGGCCACAAGGGGATCATGCAACAATTTCCACTGGTATATGGAACAGCTGTCAGCTCTTTTGACCTGCTGCATGTTTGTGTTTGGGGTATTCATTCCTCTGTTTTGGCATCCCCATCCACTTTATGCCTGATCTCTGTGTCTCAGACACCTATACACAGTGATGGTTTCTGACCGGATTCTGTCCTGGTCTCTCTTGCCCATTGTCCCATGTGCTTCTCTAAATTATATCCCTTCTAGCTACAACCAAAAGTTTGGTTTTCTCTGGTTGCTGATCTTGAACAAAAGAGGTCAACTAGCTTTTCTTATTGAAGACATTACTCTATTGTATTTCCATTTAAAAAAACAAAGTTATTAACTCAAATGCATCTTTGATCTTACCATGTGTGGGGAAGATAAACAAAAATTGCTATTCTAATTCGGCCACATTGTTTACTGTTGTATTACAAAATGTGTATTAAGATTAGTTATCTTAGGTGGAAGAGAAAATATGGAGATCTCTAAAGATAAATAAGGAGGTTGGATTCAATCCTGTAATAATGAAGTAAATGACATAAAAGTGGATATTATTAAAAGAACCAATGCTTGGAATACACAGAGGTTAAACTATATTTAGGGTGGATAATTGTATAGAGGAGGCTATGAATCACTTTCATAGGCTCTAAGTGAGTCAAAAGAATTGCTAATTATATGTTTATTGTATGCAGTTTGGGGCCATGGCTAAAAATATCTGGGTATCATGTAATACTAGCATGTATAGAAATAGGTAAAGATTAAATCTTATGATGGTGAAAAAGCAGTGCCAAGAGTTGCGTTTTCATTATCTTTCTGATCCTCCTCTGCTTCTCATTCCCTCCCCATCACCCCAGTCTACTTTCTCTCTTTGCCACAGGCTTCAGTGACTGCAGTAAGCTCTTAGCATGGACTGACTGTTGATTCTCATCTTTTTTCCTTTGAGGCATCCCATAGATCTATGTTAGATCAATCTTCCTAAAACATTTCTCTCACCATACTTCCATTAGCTGTGTGATGTAACCTTCCTAAGCCTGTTTCCTTGTTGGAAAAAGACCCGTTTGGTTTCAGTTGATTTTTTCAGTTTGAAAATTGTCATTTTGTGCCACTCCAAAGTGTCTGGGTTTTTTTCTCCGTTCAGCATACTGTGAAATACATTCCAAATGTAGTGGCACACCTTAGAGATGCAAAGACAAGACACAGCTCCCTCCCCTAGTGGTGACTGTCACTCTGGGGTCTCCACAGGTTGGATTATGGCCCCTCTGCTTAAAACTTTTAAAGCATGTTGCCCCCATTTATGTATGTTTATTTTTTAAATCTACATGTTTTTGACTAAATGTTAAAATTTTAATGATGAGATACAGATGAGCAATATTTATAAAATAAAATTATAGTTTTATTATTAAAGATGCAATAAATGTTTTGCTCTCAATATGTTAATATTTTAGTGAGAACAATATGTTAAATTCCCTTTGTTAACTTAGACAATCTTTACTTAAGGTGTAGGAGGTAGAGATACACATCTCTGGCATTTGTTCAGTT